AAGCTGCATTCTTTCAAAGTCAACCGTTCTTTTTCGTAATAAATCATACTTGTTTTTCAGCCTAGGGCAAGAAGAAGACATAATATGCCTTACAGCAGAGCCCTTTAATCTACACTGTAATAATAAATGATAAATATTAAGAAATCGTGAGACTATAATTTAAAACGTTTTTACAATGATTTTGTAAATAAAAATCTTAGGTCCTAATGTCCTATTTAGTTTTGTTAAACAACTTTTAAAACTTGATGTTTTTAAGTATTGCTTAAGAAAGTTTTTTTAATACTAAGTCAATTAAATTTCCTTTTTTTAATTCTATATTAGGGGTCGTCCATAAATTACATCACGCTATAAGTGGGAGGGGGTTGGTAGTTTTGTGACGACTCATACATAACTTGCTTCTTAAGTGTTACGATTTTGTGACGAAGGGGAGGGGGGAGGTCAAAATCTGTCATAAAATGCGTGGCGTAATTTATGGACGATCCATTACTACTCGGTGTAGTTAAGGCGATTTACAAAGTATTTGAATACTTTTATTTGGAATTAGCATGGTTTTGTCAGCATATTATGCCCAAACAAGATCTTTAAATGTTATAATTTTTTTTGCTTAAGGTTTTTATAATATTTGAAGAAACTTTTCTTTTTTATACATAATTTTTAAAATCTTTTTACAACCTGTAATAATGTATCTAAAGAACACTATTTTGGGGTCTTTAGATCAATTTCGCTCATCGACATTAACATGAATTTAGTTAAAATCTTTTTAAAAAGTTACTTAATTTACTTCTGATCCTAGTTCTAATCGGTTCTGACGTATATTAACTATATATAAATGTCAAAACACAATATTTCTACCAATTTTCACAAAGAATACTGGAATTCCGACCAAGAAAGAGCTTATAATTGAAAATAATTGTCAATAAACGATCAGAACAGATCATATTGTTAAACTGTAATGTTCATTTCACCTAAAAAACGTATTAATATAAAATCTTATTTAAATTTGGACGAGCGATTGTGATTTTAAGATGATCTTTTTTTAAAAAAAAGATTACACGGTCTGGGTTTTTTCGCTACAAACATTTATATTTTATGATAGCGCATAATTTATTATTTTAATTTTTTTCGTCTTTTCATAATTTACAGACCAGACCATTTCACGGAAATATGTCATAATCAACAAAATATCATTGAGACGCTATAATATTTTAAAAGTGTCTTAACTGCACCGAGTAGGCTGTTGATTATAATTCATACTTTTATTACTAATGCATGACAAAGGAAATTTTATTGAATCTCGGTTGTTGTTAATTTATTTCCAACAGTTATTGTATCTCTATGTCAATTATAAACATTTAACGATTGCAAAAAATTGTGCCCTTAACTGATATTGATTTGTTTTTGAACCTAAAAATTTTTTTCTAAAGTTAGCCAAAAAAAGTTTCCATCAGCCGACCTTTTGTTTTTGTATTTTATTCTCAGTCAGTTAATCCAAACAAATTTTCTATGGTTGTCCATGCATTTTTTTTTAACAACACTGTTCTTAAATTATTCACTGAATTTATCGTACAACACGGAATACCTTTACACTTTCTACTATTTTGTTTTTATAATATTCCGTTATTTTTCAACCACATGACTTTATTGAGGCTTCTTTTTAATAATAAATCATGATAAATTAGTAATCATAATTAATAAATGCTGTGTTTATTGAAAAATACACAAAATTTATTAACCTTCATAATTACATATTACTTAAATGATTTTATAAAGACATGGGTTATATTTGTCAATAGAATTTTTGTGATATTCAAGGACTGCTCAAGAAATAAAAATACACAAACTCTCAAAAGTAAGCTTTAAAAGTATAAACAAAATTGAACACAAACTGATTAAATTTACTGATTAATGCGAAAAAAAAAATGTTCTTATTTTTTTCTCTGTTTTTGTTTAAAGACAACAATGTTATCTGCAACAATGGAATCACAGACTCTCTTTCTGATGTTATTAAAATAAATATTTGAAATAATAGTGTGTATAATTTCTTTTCCACAATTTTGGTGATTTAAACATAAAAATGGTTGGTAACCTTCTCTACTGCCAAGAACTAACTTTGCTGCTTTACGGTGTTGCATTCGAGACTGATAAATAACATCAAATACATGATCTAGCATAGCAAAACTATCACAGACATATTCTAAAAGGGGTACTGATGGAGTTGTTAGCCCACCTCTGGACAATATATTTAAATAATTATAATCATTCAACTCCTGTTGACAATGTTGAGTACAAAGCAATTTGCAACATATTTTAAACTTCTTATTCAGTTTTTTGACAATAAAACCAGCAATATAACTAGCAACTTCACGAGAATCATCTGATAAAGTCACACAATCTAAATCTCTTTCTTTGATCTGATTCATTAAGGATCTAGCATGTTGTGTATCTTCTACAGCATTAATATCATTTTCGAAAATTTGAATTCCTTCCTTTACTAAACTTTTTATTTGGATTATCTTCTCACTATAAATAACATCTTTCAAACTGACAAGGAACCTGCCACCACTCATTTGGCGGTATTGTCCAAATCTTCTTTCTAACAGATCACTTTGAAAACGAGCAGTCAATATAAATTTATAATTATCTTCTAACAGATCTTCTATTAATAAAGCATGACATAATAAAGTTCTTTGTAGTGCTGATAACGTTTGAGGAGATAGTGTATATTTCTCAAAATTTGGAATTTTTGTGTTTTTCCATTTATTTAACCAGTCAGTGAAAGCTCGAAAAAACTCAGGTTTTTTATCATTAATTATAGCAGCATTTCCAAGACAGTTGTTAGAAAACTGATTTTTTGAATTTGTAATTATCCACCATTTATTAAAAAGAGTTAAGAAAGATGCAATATCTAAACGGTCGGGAAAATATGATTTTATTGCTGCTGCTGTAGTTTCATGGAAGATACCTAAAGCAATAGTGACATTTTGCTTTTAGTTTCCAGGAAGGACAACTTTGCTATTTGTTTTTGGTGCTTTTTTAAACTTGCATCCAACAGGCTGTCCTTTTCTAATAAATCATGAAATATTTTCCATGATATTTCTCCTGGTTGAACATGAATTTCATCTTTAAAACCTGAAAAATGAAATTCTGGAAAAATAAACCTTTTTTTTATTTAGTCAGTTGTTTCGAATGTTTTTAATCAGATGCACTGTGTCAAAGAATAGGTAAATTTTTTGCGATTGTACATTAATAAACAAATCATCAGGTTTTTTACCATGTGCATTAAGCAACTTTGTAAAAAAGGAAACATTAGAAGCATGATTGTCACAAACAACACCTCGAACATTAAAACTATTTTTTATTAAAGATTGAATCAGGTTAAGAATTTCAGTCTTCAACCAATCACTGTTTAATTTTATAATTGGAACTGCTTTGACGACACAAGAGATATTTTCTTTTAAACCAACTACCATGAAGGAAACAATGCTTCTATAACATTCATTTTCCTCACTAATCCCAATTATATCTCCGCCAGAATATTCAGCACATTTTTGCAAATACATTTCATCAAAAATTATTAAAAGATCTTTTGATAAACTCCCATTTTCATGTAACAACTTTAAAACTTTTATAGAACCAATTTTACCTGCTTGCCTAACAGTGATATAGATGGAAGTGGGAATTCCTTCAGCAGTAAATTATGTTTGCAATGATGTGTAACGCAGCATCAAGGCAAATTGAAGCATATTTGAAGAATAAATTTGATTTTTTTTTTACTTGGTGTCTTTTAAGTTCTTCAAGAATAGAAGACATCTTCTCTTTTTCGATGCTAAAATGTGAATTAATGTTTTCCAGCATACTCCTTCTCTTTAACACACATTGGTGGGTTACTCTAAACCAAGGTGGTAAAGAAACTGGAAGATTTTTATAAAAAAGTTTAACGTGAAGATTTTTGTCAATACGAATACATTCAGCAACTTGAGGTATGTGAAGTTCATTTTGAATAATTTTATGGAACACAACACAATCATCAAATTTGGAAAATGAATATCCTGTTGGTGAATCAGCAACTGTAAGAGAATCAAGATCTTCAATAAAATCATTTGATAAAAATTTCTGATATTCATCTTCTTGAAAAATTCTTTTAGTTGGTGATTTTCTTGGTACAGACATAAATGGAGGTGAAGCCGTTGCTATGCTAGCCGGATATATTGTAGGAACAGGCTTCAAATTATACAACAAACGAAATCGTTTTGCTGATGCTCCTTTGTGTATTAAATTTTCATCAAAATGTTTTAAACAGATCACAGATGATTTAGTGACAGTCCAGAAATTTCTGTTTACAAATCTAACCCATAACTTTCTTAAGTCATCATCTTTTGGAAAACCAAAAACTGGGACTACTTCACCACCATTATAATTAGAGGTACAACCAACAACACAGCATTTATTAACCATTATTATTATTAATAATTAAAAAGTAGTCACAAATAACAATACAGTTTGGCATTAATCTAACGCAAAAACTTTTATCCAGTGTCAGATTTACTTACTTAACATTTATAGCGCAATATTTAAAATATTTTGAGAGAGTCTGTCCATATAATAGAATATACGTTATTTCAACTGGCCTTCTATTTTTTTTCGATTTAAGCAGATTAGAAGGCCGTGTATTTAAGTAGGCCATGGACTAAACTAAACCTGGCGAATTAAAAATAATAAACAATATAAAAGTGAAACAACATAAAAGTGGGAAATAATAAACAACATAAAAGTGAAACAACATAAAAGTGGGAAGAAACATATAACATTAAATTATTATATTGCATTTTGATTTTTGCTATAGAATTTATTTTTTTGTCTAATTCCGGAAATTAATTCTGAAATTTATCAAAAAGCAATGTAACTTTTTAATTTAATAAAAGCAAAAATGCATATTTTTTTTACCCATTATTATTGAAAACAAATATGTAACAATTCCATTAAAATAAATACTAGCTAAAAAGTGACACTAATTGGTATCTATACCTCAAAAGATACTAAAACAAATATTTTTTTACGTTTTCGAGAAACAGTTTTAAGTGATGTTTTATATATCGACAAGTTAAACGTTTACGAAGCAGTTTCACGTTTGTTGTCGTCTGGTTTCATAGCAGGAAAAAATAGCACCTCCTTTATTCAAAACAAGAAAATAAAATTAGCATTGAGTCATAATAAAAATTTGATTTATATATAAATAAATTGTATTTAATAAACATTTTTATTCTAGAATTTATTTAAGAAATCTATATAAATTTAGCAATTATTTAACATCTTTATAAATATAGAATTATTTAATATACATATTTTTTGAAGTTCAATTTCAGGTTGATATTGAACTTCGAAAAATATGTATATTAAATACATAGTTTTTGAAGTTCAATTAAAAAAATATATATTACGGATTAATTTACCACGTTCGAAACTTTACACACTGTACTAATTTATACTCGTTTGATTCTCATCAAAAAGAAAAAATTTGCCTACCTTTATATTATTAGAATCAGTAAAAAACATGCATAATCTATCGATTCCCATTCCCCAACCAGCTGTAGGCGGTAATCCATATTCTAATGCAGTACAAAAACCTTCATCATAAAACATAGATTCGTCATCTCCGGCAGCTTTATCCTTAAAAATATATAAAGGTAATTACACACACACACACACATATGCATATATATATATATATATGTATATATATATATGTATGTATATATATATATATATATATATATATATTTATATGTATATATACTTATATATATATATATACTTATATATATATATATATATATATATATATATATATATATATATATATATATATATATATATATATATATATATATATTATATTGTATGATATTTTGTATTTGCAATAAAATACAAAACTCTTGTACGTATAAGAGTGCTCAATAATAAATAAATAGGATTTATTTATATTATTTAATAGAGCATTATATTAATTAATTTATAAAAATAAAGAAAACAACTTTTTATGGTACTTATAGTTTCATGCCTAAAGGCAATCATCAGCCATGTAATACAAAACAAGAAACAAAAAAAACCGTTAAAATATAAAGTTACAGTGGAGTGTGCTCCGTCGTCATAACAAAACAAAAACAAAAAGTTCTTACTCCAAAATACACTTTTTCAATCCCGTCTGGAGTGCCTGGATATAGAGTGGCTTGATACACTATGTTATTAACGAGGCACTGTTGATTGAAAGGGCAATTGCTTTTAGTAATACAATTGCAACTTTTATCTGATTCTGGGGGGATGTTTTTCATAATATGACGGTTATGAAAGTTAACGATTGATTTAATGTTTGGCATACAACTGTAACTCACCTTTAGAGCATTTCTATTAAAATGGAGTAAACCCGACAATTAAATGGAAAATTTTAAAACGTTGTAGATCTTACAATCCTACAATAAAACGATGCAACTTATGTCTATACGAAATAATAAAACGATGCAACTTATGTCTATACGAAAAGTATTTCATAATATGGTACACCTATGATAACTTATTAAATAAGAGGAACGAATTAGTATCTAAATGTAGACATAAAAGCAAACTCCTCCTTTCGAATTTCGATACGGGTGATTAGGCAGCCGTTTTCATCTTTTTGTTTTTGTTTTGTTTTGACGACGGAGCACACTCCACTGTAACTTTATATTTTAACGGGTTTTTTTGTTTCTTGTTTTGTATTACATGGCTGATGATTGCCTTTAGGCATGAAACTATTAGTACCATAAAAAGTTGTTTTCTTTATTTTTATAAATTAATTAATTAATTAATTTATTAATTAATATATATATATATATATATATATATATATATATATATATATATATATATATATATATATATACATATATATATATATATATACATATATATATATATATATATATATATATATATATATATTTATATATATATATATATATATATATATATATATATATATATATATATATATATATATATATATATATATATATATATATATATATATATATATATATATATATATATATATATATATATATATGTTGACATTTATCTATCATGACAATATATAGAAATAATTTGAAATGTATTATAAAAATAGCGATCAATATTCTTAAAAGAACAAAGCAATATTAAATTATTAGAAAATCACTTCCAAATTATTTTTATTTTAAACAGTGTTTCATTACTAAAGATTCATCAAAAATGAATGATAAAGTTTATAGATAATTTATATCAAAAATTGAACAACAAAAAGTCATAAATATCTTTACTACTGTAACATTTCACTCATTTGTAAATTATGTTGTCAAGAATTCCTTAGAACTATTTATTTTATTGCAGTTAAAATAAAATTTTTATTTTAACTGATTTCTAAATAAAAATCTTAAAAATACTTTATTCTAGATTTAATAATATAAAAGGACTTGAATAAATACATCAATGTTCAATTGGGGTGCCAGCATCTATGTATAAAAAAAATTTATGATAAAAACACTGATTTTTTTTTTATTGATCTTTTCCATTTTTTTTAAATGTAAAATACTTGCTTTAAAAATTAAAGCTTGAAAAAATTTTTTGGATTTGTTGACCTTATATAGCTGTATATTAGGGTTATGACTTTTTATAAAACCTATGCTCCTTGTTCTGTACTGTAATTTGATGAACTTTTACCTAAAGAGCACAAAATGAACTATTATTTGCACACCTTTTTAAGTTCACCCCATCATTGAAAAATCGATTTTAACATCAGCACTACTATGTTTTCAAATATATTTAGATTGTCATAGTCATGTAATAGAATAAATTTTCAATCCAACAATAACTCAGAACGTTGACCTTGTTCTTGCTTGTTGCACAGAAGGTATTGGAGGTGCAACTTTTGCATGATGAATAAATTTCCTGTTACTTTTATTGCACACTCGGTGCATTGATTACTTTTGGGTATCTGTAGTATGGATTGCTCTCGCTTCCAGTGATTTTTCAAAGAGTTTAAAGCCTTGTATGGGCTCAGTATTTCAGCTAAGTTATTTAAGTCGTTTTCGTTGTACAGTTTGTCTGTAAACCAATGGTCTGCCCAGCCATACATTATAAATCGACATAACTTACAACCATACAATATAAATCGACATAACTCTGCAGAACTTGTTGAAGGAATTATAATGAAGGCCAGGATCGCTAGTATTGCTGTGGAGTTCCACCTCACATTGCTGATATTGGGTATTTTTTGAAACTTGATCAATGGAAAATGTCCCTTTTCCTCAAAAAAAACCCTTAAGATGAAACAAAAATTCATCATCTCTCCAGCCTGATATTTGGAGAATTAGTTTTGTTTCATTATTAAACTGTATTTTCAGTTGTTCGTACTCCTTCAACAGTTGAGATACAAACGGATATTCCATGTTTAGCGGATGTGTTTTATTTCCAAGTTCTTCATCCATCACCAAATGGAGGATTCTATCTAACACATGGTGTTGACAACTGATTAACTGAAATTTGTTGATGCGTTTCTCTGTGAATATTCATTGCAATATTACAACACCATTCTTTTTTCCAGTGTTATTGCTGGTGGTATCTGCAACAATCATCTATATTAATTCCGTAGGTGAAAATCATCAAAGACTTCCTTGAGCAATAGTTAAAGTCCTGCTATCTACCAAGCCAATGGCATCAAATTTGATTTCTCTTCTTACATTTTTAAAGATGACCACTTGATAATCCATTCTGTCTATGTGCTTGCCATCAAAGTGTAAGGACCTACTTTCCATATGAAACTTTTCAATCATTTTTTCTTTTAGCTTGATTGCCTCTTAAATTGTTGACTTGTAAATAGTTGATTGACATGGAGTTAGGATGTCAATGCCTTCACAAGCCAATTGCTTGCATATGTTAGCAGCTTTGTTTGTTGATACTTTTGTGGAGGTCACCAAGTTGACTGCAATTTTGCTTTCATGATGTTTTCTGCTTGGTGTAGGAGTTGTCTCATCTTCTTCATTGTTTTTATATTCACTGCCGTCAGCCTCAGAATCACTAAAACCAGGATAGTAAGATAATTAGAAAGCTTTTGTCTTTTAGAGGAATGGATCATTTCTTTACTGGCCGCTTGGCCTGTAGAGTATCCCACTATTCCTTTGCTTTTCACTTGGAGATTGTACAATCGCTTGTCCTCGGAAGATAACCATGTTCCATTCACTTTAGTAATATCAAAAATTTCATCAAGGAGTTCGTAGCTTTCCCACTTGACACATTCATCATAAAATATCAGTATTTTATCAAGCTTTGCTTATATAACTTGATCAGATACATGAGGAAAATTCAGTTTATTCTTCCACAATTTGGTGACTTCTTTGGAAATTTCTGCTAATCGCTCCTTTCTTCCTTTGATTTTTGGTCCAAGGAAATGGTAGCATCTGATAACTTGCTTTTGGAGAGGCATTCTGCACTTTTCTTCCAGTAAATATTCCTTTAAAGGGACCATTCTTCTTCTTTTATGAGAGTCTACAAATTTTACCAGATTATTGGTCCAGACATCCTAGTACTCCAGACATCTTTTAGACTTCCTACTATTGCTAGGCTTGTGCGACATCATGTGTTGCTTCTGTAATAACTATAAATTAGATAAGCAGCTATATATAGTCTAAAATGTTCTAGAATATTCCAGAAAGTTCTAAATTGTTCTAGAATATTTTAAAATATTTTAAATTATTCTAGAATGTTCTAAATTGCTCTAGAATGTTCTAAAGTCTTTTAAAATATTCTGTTATTTTCCAAAATGTTCTAAAGTTCTAGATACTTCTAATCTATACAAGTTTTATATGATTTGTAGGAAACCCACCGTATTAGTAGTAGAAGTAACAAGATTAAATAAATGACAAAACATAATTTGAATTCCAGGGTGACCTTTTTTTTTTTACAACCAAGAGGAATTGAACGTGTTTTGAATGTTTTCTAATAAAAATTCATTGATATATGACACAGAAAATTAATTTAAAAAAAAAAAAAGTCAAAAAGTCATAACCCTAATGTATATGGTTATGGACCATGAGCATAAGAAAACTTTTTAGATGATTTTGAAAAAAAAAAAAACAAAAAAAAAAACCCAAAATCACAAGTTAATTTACTAATTTTGTTCTTTTATTCAACATATTCAAAATTACCTTGGCTTGGTTTGTGAACATTTGTCTTTGAATGTAAGGGTCATTTAATTCAGTGTAAGCATTGCAAATTTCTTTTCGACATACAAATAGTTCAAAACGTTCAGTTAGACCTGGTTGAGATCGATGCCTAAAGTATAATTTTGCTATTTATTAATAAGAAAAAAAAAGCAAAAAATATTAAAAAACAGCTAAATAACTAAAAAACAAAAACAGAAAAAACTGTAAGAAAAAAATAATAATATAAAAAGTACCATTTTGCAAGAGGACTCATTATCTGAGGATGATCCATGATAAATGTTGGGTTAATACAATGTACTTCCAAATAATCACCTACTAACTATAAAAAAATATATAAAAATAGAAATAGAATTAAGTTTAATATATATTACACATTCTGAAGTGTCATAAACTTTACTAATATAGTTTTAATTTAGTCATAATTTTTTTAAGTATCACAGTAAAAATAGTAATTTTTACTCTTGAGTTAACAAAACATATACAGTCGTGTGACAATTTATTATGGCCACCCACAATTTTTCAAAATTATCAAGTTTCAAAGTCTATTATTTTAGTATTTTTTTGTGATTTATGTACTCAAAGTAACTTTTATTTAAGAAACGGGTATTTTTTTGACAAAAACATTTAACATTATTGTTAATAAATTTTATTATTTAAATATTACTACAATTATATTCAAGATCAATATTTGGTGATTCCTCCTTTGCCTCTATAATTGCAGGAACCCTTTTTGGCATACTTTTAATGCATTTTCTATTAAATACACTTTATCTGTAATAATTTTTTCAGATATTTGCTTATTTAGGAGCACCCAAACATTTTCTATAGGATTTAGGTCAGGAGAGTTTCCTGGCCAATCAAGTAATGGATAATTTTGTTTTGATAGATATTTTTTAACTGATTTAGCTGTGCGACATTGTCATGCCCTGTCCTGCATGAAGACTTTTTTTTCACCTGGACTAAACTATTCTGCCAATTGTGACAACAATCTTTGTTCCAGAACATTTTTATATTGTAACTGTAACATTTTTCATTCTGCAATATAGAACCTTCCTATTTCCTTTACACATTTCATTGATCAGATCATCACAGAGGTGGGGTGTTTAACAGTTTGCATGATGCAGTCCAATAAGTATTTTTCCCCTTTTTTTCTTTTTAAAACTTAAAAGTACTCTCACCGCTAAAGCATACCTTAAAATATTATACAAAGATTCTTAAGTGAATATTGAATGAATCTTTAAAGTTTGGAGTAAGAAAGTGGCTATTTTAAATTCATCTAAATTAATTTTATTAATTTCCAATCATATGTTAAATTCCTATACTTTTTTGTTCACTCAAGCTTTTTTTGTACAATTTTTGATGTCAGTTTAGGCATCTTAGCTGGACGTCGTGAAATGTAACCAAGATTGTGTAACCAATGTTGGACCGTTCTCTTCAACATTTTGACTCCAGATTAGCCCAGCTTATTAGTTATTTCGTTGTTGGTGGCCTGTCTATTTTCTAGAACAATCTTGGTAAGTATTCATTTCCTGCATGGTGTTAGCATTCTCTTCTTTACACATTTACCAACCCTCTTTGGCATCAAGTTCTCCACATTAGCATTTTTTTGTGTATATTTTGTACAGATACCCGCGAAATACCATACTTTCTGGCTATTTTTCATTGAGAATGATCAGTATTTATTAAAAGTGCCCTGATTTCAGCAATTTTTGTGACAAGTTTTTTTCCCCTCATAACTAAAATAAGATATCACATATCAGTACTACAGTTAAGAATTTGCTTTGGTACTCATAACTTTAAAAATATCAAATCAAATACAACTATTTTTAATTAAAAATAAAAAGAAATATTCAAGAAACAATATTTTTACTGATTTAAATAAGTAATATGACTATAACCTAATAAAAGAATTCAAAACTCTGGTAATAAAACTTAACAAGTGTACAGCAAAAAGATTATAATTAAGATGAAATCATACAAAATGGCTGTCAAAAGTGACAGTGTTGCCAGTAGCAAAAAAAAATCACTGATTTTATGAGTTAAAGCTTTATTTTAAACAGAAGATTAACTTTCAATAATGAATTTTTACTCTTCATATGAAAAAAATGAGATTAAATTTCAAAATGATCAAAACTCATAGGTGGCCATAATAAATTGTCACATGACTGTAGAAACACATTTTTTAAAGTACTTATTTATTCTAAAAGAAATTGACTTTTATAGATAATACATCAAACTAATTTTATTATTTACTAGGGTGCACAAATGCACCCTATTTTTTAAAATCTTTCTTGTTATCTATTGGCTCTCACAAAGAACCCTGATTTAGATTTTACCTTAGATTTAGAGGCTACCTTTATTTGAATTTTGCAACTAGACTTTATGTGCATAAATGCAAAAACCAATAAACAAAAAAAACCTTTTTTTTTTTTTTGAAGAAAAAAAAAATGTTTTTTAAATTTTTATTCAACTTTGCTTTTTTAAAAACATAATAAATTACTTTGTGTTTCAGATTTTATTAATTTATTTTTTTTTATTTTCTGAACATAGCACATTTCAAAATGTTATAAGAACAAGGGAAGGTATTTTTACAGGAACATATTTTACTTTTTTTGATGCTTTAAGTTTAAAAGACAGCCTAGGGTGTTTAAAATGGTGTAAAAAATTTAAAATGTTTAAAAGAGCAAAAATCTGTTCATGGTATGCAAAATCATGGTATGCAATCGTTAATTAAAATGCAATTAGTGTTTTTTTTTATAGTTAATATAATTACATTATTAAATTATTTTAACATTTTTAAAAAAAATTTTTAAATAATTTTAAAATAATTTAATTAAATAATTTGCTTTATTGCAATTTTAAAATCCCCTGCTTCCACTTAAAGTATTATAATTTAAAGTTTTCCCCTTCCACCTTTTTTAAATCAGAGTTTTCATTTTTTAGCCTTTGCCAAAAAAAAAAAAACAAGGCTTACAATGCATCAAGATATGCGACAGACTGTACTGGATTACATGCTACTAGTAGAAGAATGTGATAATCCAGATATATTAATCCCAAATTATTTTTTTGAGACACCCGAATATATATATATATATATATATATATATATATATATATATATATATATATATATATATATATATATATATATATATATATATATATATATATAAGGGTGTCCCAAATTATTGCTTAAAGGGGCGTTTTTCAAAGACTATTCCAGGACCTACTAAATTCTAGTACTTCAGGTGTTTTTTTTCAGGGTTTTCAAGGACCGCTGGCCACCATTACCAAGTAATTAACTTGGGTAAAAGAAAAACAAGAGATTATTACATATTTATAAAAGTAAAACTAGTATCAAGAAATTCTGTAATGAAACTATTTGATATTTACTAGATTTAATTTAAAAAACTTTTATTATTTGGATAATTTCCTTACTTTATCAAGAAGACGTGAAACAGTACGCGGTGGACTGCATTCAACTCCATTTTTAATACATAAATCATCAAAATATTTGCGTGCCTCTTGAAAAAAATTAAGTATTAGTAGTTAAATAAAAGAAATAATTAAAAAAAAAATTATATTAAATAAAAGAAATAAAATTATCTAGAGATTTAGAATTTAACTTTTTACTTAACAATTATTTACATTTTACAAAATTTATAAGCATATTAAATACCTTCAGTGTTTAGATCAAAGTTTGGAAATGTTACATTTAGAACCTTTTGAAGTTCGGCTAACATAGAAATTCTTCTAAAAGGTGGTGTAAAGTCTATTTCCCATTCTTCTCCCTCAGCCTCATCAGTACGCTCAGGATGATACTTAAGTTTATAGGTACCAAATAGTGATTTAACCATACCTAACAAATTAACAACAAAACTTAATTTTAGAATAAGAAAAAACAGCTTAAAAATACAAAAGAGCAAATTTTAAAAAACTAAACAAAAACTTTTTAACTTTACTACTTTTTTATAATTGTTTGTACTTTTTATTACTTTTGTTTATAAATATTATACTTAAAATATAAATATTATATTTAAATGTAATATAAACTTTGTTATACTTTATACTCAAGCACTAACACATTAAAAAAAAAAAAGTGAAACATTAAATTAAACTATCAAAAACTTTTATGTTTTATTTATTAAATTAAAATAATTTAAAATAAATAAATAAATTAAAGAAAATAATTATCAAAACTAAAAAATTGTTTTATTAAAAGATAAAAACAATCAATCAAAAAAAAAAAAAAAAAAAAAAAAAAGTCGTCTAAATAAATCTATCAAAGGTCATTAATTAAATCCAAATCTGTTTATTATAAAGAAAATATTATCACGTAATGTAATAAAATGTCAATGTAATAAAAAAATTAGAATAAAAAAAATATATACCTGAGAGCATCTTTTCAGTAATTTCAATAACATCATTATAATCAGCATATGCCATATAAAATTCACATGTTGTAAATTCAGGATTATGAGTCATATCTATTCCTTCATTACGGAATTGACGCCCTATTTCGTAAACTCTGTCAATTCCTCCTACAACAAGCATCTTAAGGAAAATTTTAGAGATTAAATTTTTTAACATGTAAAAAAAACTTACACAATAAAATTTAATACACCACAACTTTAAACTTATTTTAACCACAACTTTATACTTATATTATATATATAGATTTACAGATTGCCTACTTTATGGTACAGCTCAGGGGCAACGCGAAGAAACAAATCCATATTTAAGTCATTGTGATGTGTAATAAAAGGTTTAGCTGTTGCTCCACCAGGTATCATGTTCATCATAGGAGTTTCTATCTACACACAAAGTAAAATCAGTTTAAATAGTTTCAATAACGTAAATCAAAATAAACAAGATGGTGAACTAAGTTTTTATAGATCTAATGACAATAGTAAAAGAATTACCTCTAAAAAACCCAACTGATCAAGATATTTCCTAACATAATTTATTATTCGACTTCGTGTATAAAACTTTTGTCTGACTTGTTCATTTAAAATAATATCTAAATATCTCTGTCGAAATCGAGTTTCCTAAAAAATTACGTATTGCAAATATTAAAATTTATAATGCATTACAAGAATTATAAACATAATATAAAGAAATTAAACTAAAAAAGTAAACATAATGTAGATTAGTAAGATAGTTTGAACATATGTCTTGATTTTATTTTTTTTTCAATTATTAATAATTTTAGACAATATGTATAATTCTAAAAAAAATAAAAAAGATAGTAAACTCATGCAAAAAAGATTATTTTCGACAGTGCCGACCAAATTTGGATATCACACAAATTCCGAAATTGAGAACTTTTTTATTTTTTTAAATTCACCAAAAAAAAATTTTTTTTTAAAGAGCCTACATATTGTGATGTTAGAATTAATAGGGTTTTATCTCCCTTTATACTGTTGAGAGAATTTAACCAAATTTGTTATACTTTCTTAAATTTTTAAAATTAAAAGTAAAAATTTGTTAAATTCGTTAAAATAAAAAAAAAACACATCAAAATTGTTACATTTATTGCTTAGAATACACATTATTTATTATATATTAAGTAATATAAATTGATATAAGACAAAATAGCATATTGGTACATGAAAACAATAAGGTTCTATTTCCAAATTTTCATGGTAAAGAAAATTAATTTCCTGTTTTTAGATAAATATTATTTTTGTGTTCAAAATTATATAACTTTAATATGTTAATCTTATTATTATTTATATACCTTTAAAAATTATTAGTTTTATTTTTTTCATTGTCAATTTCAAACTTATTAAATAAAGTTGGAATAAACAGTTAATTTGTAAACAAGCAACTTTAAACATTATGAAATTAATAATGTAAGATTAATTATAAACATAAATAATATAAAAAACATACAATTTATCAATATAAACAATAACAACTGTAAATCATATAAATAATTAAAAAATCAAAAGTTAAATTCTCACAACGTTAAAAAATGGAGATAGAACCGTATTAATTTAACGTCACGATATGGCAATGTATCAGTTAAATTTCTTTATGGCAGACGCCGGCACAGGGTTACCACTGCCAAAATTATTTTCCTAGAATAGCCCCTGATATATATATATATATATATATATATATATATATATATATATATATATATATATATATATATATATATATATATATATATATATAACAGGTACTATTCTAGGAAAATATTTTGACAGTGGAAACCCTGTGCCGGTGTCTGCCATAAAGAAATATAACTGATACATTGCCATGTGTGTGTGTGTGTATATATATATATATATATATATATATATATATATATATATATATATATATATATATATATATAAACACACACACACTTACTAAAGCATATTTTTATATGCACTTGCTCACTTTTTTTGCTTACCTTAATTGACACAGCTTTTTTGGAAAAAGAAGAAAAAAAAATGAAGAGTGATGAATGAAATGATTGCTGCCCCATCCCAAACTCTCAGTCGATGTACCAGTACTCCACAGCGAGTCAGGCTATTTGTCAGTTGATGTATGTACTGAAGCCCCCGGCAGCAGGCTATTTCAGTATGATGTCAGATTGCTTACCTTAGTAAGCAATACTATTTGTATGTATGTGTATATATATATATATATATATATATATATATATATATATATATATATATATATATATATATATATACAAATAGTATTGCTTACTAAGGTAAGCAATCTGACGTCATACTGAAATAGCCTGCTGCCGGGGGCTTCAGTACATACATCAACTGACAAATAGCCTGACTCGCTGTGGAGTGCTGGTACATCGACTGAGGGTTTGGGATGGGGCAGCAATCATTTCATTCATCACTCTTCAATTTTTTTTTCTTCTTTTTCCAAAAAAGCTGTGTCAATTAAGGTAAACAAAAAAAGTGAGCAAGTGCTTATAAAAATATGCTTTAGTAAGTGTGTGTGTGTGTTTATATATATATATATATATATATATATATATATATATATATATATATATATATATATATATATATATATATATATATATATATATATATATATATATACACACACACACACACATGGCAATGTATCAGTTATATTTCTTTATGGCAGACGCCGACACAGGGTTTCCACTGTCAAAATATTTTCCTAGAATAGCACCTGTTATATATATATATATATATATATATATATATATATATATATATATATATATATATATATATATATATATATATATATATATATATATATATATATATATATATATATAAATATATATATATATATATATATATATATATATATATATATATATATATATATATATATATATATATATATATATATATATGTATGGAAAAACCTCTTTTGCTTAGATTTAGTAAAACACACACACAAGACAAATTTATTAATTACCATAATTTAACAGGGTAAACTTGAGACTATTTAAAGTAAGAGTAGAAGTATGTATTAAAGTACTCCATCCATGGAATACCTTGATACAAACTATGAACATTATCTAAAAAGTATAAAATTAAGAGAAAAGACTCATTTTTACTTGAAAGACTAACAAATTAATAATTATAACACAAATAATGCATCTAATGGTCCAAATCACATTTCAGGAATCCAGATAATATATGGTTTTAAATGTCAATGTTAAGCATCAATAAATAATGGCTGTGTATTATATATTGTATATTGAATAGAAAAATTTAAAAAAATGATTTTAAGAATTGTTTATGCCACATTTGAGTAATATTCTACAGTTTTAGTAGCAACTGTTTCATCATATAAAAGTGGTTGTCACAACTCTCAAGATTCCTTCACAATAATAATGTTTTATGGTGATTTATGTATCATGGTGCCCCACTTTCTCTAAATTAAAAACTTTTTTTCTTTTCAAAATAGTTTTCTACAACTTTTTTCTCAAAAGGCCTTCAGTTCAAAAAATTCAAAGTTTACTTTTTTATAAGCTTATTTAAATGCTTAAAAAACTATTGAGTAAAAACATAATTAAATATTTTTGAAGAAATTCATAAATCATTAGTTTTAAAAAAAAATAACTTTTAAAGTTTCAGTTATTATTATTTTTTAATTTGCATTTTATAGTTGCGAAAATACATAAATAGCAACTTAAGGCTGTTTAAAAAAAGCTATAGTTTTACACAGCAGCAAATTAAGAAATTTATTAATTATATACAATTCTTAGGTTCAAAATACATAACTTGACTTTTCCAAAGAAATAATAGTCATGTTCCTTCAGTCATATATATATATATAAAAAGAAAAACTACTTTAAAAACTGCCACAATTAAGTCTTTGAAACTTCAAAAGTTTAAAAGACTTTTTATCAGACTAAATTTCTAGTTTATTATTATGTATGCATAAATTAACATAAATTATTATGTATGCATAAATAAGCTAAACTAAATAGTTGAAAATTTATATAACTAAAAGACACCATTTTGTATAAAGTGTACACAAGTTTTTTGTACACATTTTCACATTGGTAAATTTTACACTTTTACATTTGTATAACAAATTTGTTAAAAAAAATTTCTGATCAAGATATTTTCTTGATATGGTAAAATTTTTCAATAATGACAATAGAAATAAACTACTATTATGAAACCATTGAAAAAGGTAAACAAAAAAAAACAGCTATAGTATTTAAACGATCAACTTATTCTGAAATAAAAACTTTGAGAAACAAGGCAGCTGTGCAGAGAAATAAGTTAAGTGTCATAGAGTACATGGTAGCCTTTGAACATTAACACTTTTTAAGTTAGGAACGCTCAGCTAACTATAAAGACACTAGTTAACCTAGCAAGATAATTAATCAAGACATTTAAAAAAAATGTTTATTTAACTGTATTCAGATGTCAGGTTTCCACAAACATGTAAATAAAATTCAAAACAAGCCACACTTGCTAAGTGATAGTTATTAAACCTTTGTTTTTAAATACAAATTTTTAATATGTAAGTATGTAAACTTGAATGCATAAAATATAATTAAAAAATTACCTTGTCTTTTAATCCAAAATGCAAATGAGGAAGCATATGCAAACAAGGAGAAAGAAGTTCAATATTTGTTGGCTGTATACTTAGTTCACCTTTTTTTGATTTTCCTAAATAAATAAAAACTAGAATAAACACAAATATAAAAACTCTTTAAAAAAAACTTTTTTTTATTTACTCTTAGTAAAAAAATTGATTTTAAAAAAAACATTGTTATTACCTGGGCGTCCAGTAACCCCAACAATATCTCCTCTTCTAAGTTTACCATGAATTGCAGCAAAATCTTGTTCAGAAGATCTAATCAAATTTATTTTTAAACTTAGATTTATATTTAAAATTAGTTAAAATTAAAAAACTTTCATTATTTAAAAATTAGTTAAATAAAAACCTATCATTAATATTAAAGCATATGAAACAAAATATATTAATAAAAAAATATGGCAAAAAATAAAATTTATATTAATACATATTTATATAAAAGTATTATACAAATGCATAAAGTATTTAAAATTTGATTGCTGCACAAATAATGCAGATGTTCTGTAAATTTATGTTAGCAAAACACTATACTAATTCAATGTTTCTATTTCAGACACCCAACTATATTACACCAAGATCAACTTTTCAACAAAAAAAAGTGCTGAAATTTTTTTCAAAATTACACATATCAGAGGAAAATCAACAATTTTTCTATCAAATTAGCAAAATTTATCAAAAGGTTAAAAACTTACTTTTGGTAAAAACTTACTTGAAGTTTTATTATCCCATTACCTCTTTTACATTTCAAAAATGGTTTATGCATTCAGAACTAAGAATATCTGCCATTTTAAATCTATTTTTTGTTGCAGCATAATCCTTTTTTTTTACAAGCTTAAATGATATCTTTTATTTTTATTATGTTTATATATTTTTGATGGGTCGCATTATTTAAACCATAGTGTCCATGAATCCATTTAATAATAAAGTATTTTTATAATTCCAATTATCTACACATATTAATTGCAAACTTCAATATGGTGGATTATTATCTAATGTATTATCTAATAGTAGATTATGATCTCAAAGGTAGATATGCTCTATTTGAAAATCACAAGTAAATCTAATTATATTGGTTGTTATACATACATACATACATACATACATACATACATACACAACTTTTTTTGCTGACTTAAATCCCATTCCAAACTGCACTTAAACTTTTACAATTTCTATAACTAAACAGTTGTAAATATTTTTTACATGTTCAAAAAGAAAAAAGAAAGTTTAATATATATATATGAATAAAAAGTGCAACTATTTATTTAGAAAATCAATGAATATAATAGTCTCCTATGTAAGGATATTTGGCTGAATAAAAAGAAAAACCATATTGTTTTGTTAAAGGTTGTTTGATTAAATTTAATTTTTTTAAATATGTTATCCTTTTCATATTCATATAAAGCATGTATAAAAGCATGATTTCAAATAAAAAATAAAAACTGAAATAAAAATTAAAGCATTTTTTGATTGTTTTTAATGAGCAGTTTTTTAAAATTTTGTTAATATAACATTAAATATTAACAAAATAATTTTTTAATAAACTTTTATAATTAAAATGACAACTTTGACAAAGGTTTCATTTTTAATCATTTTTTGAAACTAAACTTCAATTAAATAATTATCATTAATAAATTTTTGTTTAAATTTTTTTGTTAAACATAAATTTAAACAAAAAAAAGTTATTTTTAATAAATTTTGAGTTTAGGAAAGAAAACCTATTGCTGATAATTTTAAAAGTAAAGTAAGCTAACAGTAAAAGTAAAGTAAGCTAACAGGAACTACAGAAATTATTGAAAAAGGTTTCACTATTTTCTTTTTTTAAGAATAAATAAAGTGAAAATGGAAAGAAGTTGTATCTAAAATATTTACTATTTAAAGAACATAAAATAACTTTATTTTTATAAAAAATACAATTTGGCTATAAATGAAACTAAATAGGGTATGATGGGGTAATATTGGTCTATGGGGTAATATAGGTCTAATCAACATTTATCAATTTTTTAGAAGAAAAGCTTTAGGTAGAAACTAAACTTTTTTGTATGTTACAGGGTGGTTAAAATAGCTCTCTAAATTTTAATTATCAGCTTTCTACGCAAATTTTTAAGTATATATATTATTCAAAATGGTGCATTCATTTAAACAGAGTATATTTAAGTATATTTTTGATTCAAAACGACACATACATTAAAACAGAGTGTATTTAAGTATATTTTTGATTTAAAATGGTATTTATAAATGTCTTTATAAATAAAATCTTTAACTAATAACTGACATAATACTAATAACAACTAAATTAACTTTTTTTCTAAATTACACTTAAAATTTTTTTTTGCAGTTCTCTATGACATTTTGAACTCCATGCTGAACACTAAATTTTGATGCTTATGGAGCATATTAAAGTTTCATAGATCATCCAGGTCATATTTTCAAAATCCAGAAAATTTTTTGGATAAAATATCCAGAAAAAATCAGGAATATATTTTCCTGTATATGTCTCTTAAGTTTGCTTTTAGCTAAGCTGTTTTCATTTTTTTTTAACTTTTCGTAATTTTTGTATGAGTAATGAGTGAAAAAGCCTAAAAACCAAATTTATTAAGAAAATATATAACTAAACTTGTATGTGTGGAAAACATTTTGGATATCTGGAAAAACTAAAAGTTAAGAAAAATTTGGGAATTACAGAAATATCCGGAAAAAGATAATCCATGAAGTTTGCATTGTTAGTTTGCAAGGTTAGTGAAATTGATTCGCTCAAAATCCATGCTTCTCAGCTTAACAATTTCTCACTTATTGGTAAACAAAAAAGTTTAAAAAATGAAAAAAGCTTTTTATTTTAAGTTACTTTTTTGTTATTTGTACTTCAGCATTAGTAACAATTTTTCAACCTCCTCAGTACTACAAATCAAAATTGCAAAAGATAATTTGCAATTAACTCAAAATAAGATTAATGAAAAATAAAATTAATTTTCATTAGACTTTATTTAATCAACACAACCTAGCTGTAACTTTCCTTTAATATGAATTGTTTTCTATTTAGTTGTTACAACCCTTAATCAAGCCTTTAACTTCACAGCAGATTATACTTGGTCAAACTTGTTTCTCTGATGATGGAAAAACAAGTTATATCAAATATTGCAAATATCTATTTCATGAGAATTTGAAAAAAATTCTTTTTAATTGTGAGCTAAGGCTAATCTTATATAAAAACCAAAAATACAAAACTTTCAAAAAATAATAACTATTAATAATTATTACTATTATTATAATAACAAAAATAAAATAATAATAATAATAATAATAATAATAATAATAATAATAATAATAATAATAATAATAATAATAATAATAACAAAAGCAACAACAAAAAGAAAAGAAGAAGCACTAAATCATTAAAAATTTGTGAGAAAAAAACAACAAATTATATATTTATCTCAAGAATGACACCAAGCTAATGCTAATATAATAATAATTACAATAGCAATATTGTAGGAGGAAACAAAAAGTAGGATAATTAAAAACAACAATCAATATTAATATAAGTAAATCACACATTACATTCTACAAATAATAAATAACAAATTGCACTTAACAAATGTAAATAAAAGTAAAATAAAAAAAGCATAAGAAACTTTCAGGATATGTCACAACAAATCATAAATTATATAATTAAATTATACAATATTGATATATAGAGAAAAAATAAAAATGAGAGTTAGAGAAAACAGTTGACAAAAAATTTCAAAACTGTAAATTGTACGAGTAGAGGAAAATGTGAATACAGGAGATCATTCAAAACCACTGATGTATAAAGAAAAAAACTAAACAATAAAAAAAGTAAAAAAAGAGCCAACAAAAATCAAGCCAATCAAAAATCAACAATCAATCACTAATGCTGAAGTACAAATAACAAAAAAGCCAACTTTTTAATTCAATTATTTTGAGGTGAAATGTTCTAATTAAAAAATTGAATTAAAAATTCCTTAAATTAAATTACTTTAAATAAAATTCTTATTCACAGTAAAAAAGTCACACATTGAGCTTTAATAGATAGAAAATAGAAACTGATGATAACTCGCTTGAGCTGCGACATGGTAGTACTTGTAAAAAAAAAAGAGAAAGAGATGTAACATGATCACGGGACAGAGCGTCAAATTTAGAAGTCTAACAATCTTTACAATGTGTTTTTGGACCTTGTCTAAAAGAGAAAAGGTTTTATTAGAAAAAAACATGAGATACAACAGCAGGTAAAGAATGGATTCAGAATAAAAAACAATATTTTGATATTTATAACTATTAAACAACTGAGTTTTATTTAGAATAAAAATCAAGCCACTTCAAGTCCTCAGCTTTAACAACCACCAAACTGAGTTTTAGAGCTGTAGCCTATTAAAAAATAACAGAAAGAGTTGCATAACTACTACTTGTTTTAGTATATGTTACCTTACTTTACTTGAGCCCAAGGGAGCATAAGTAAAGTAGCTTAGCTACTTTAGTGGACACAAGGAAAAATCCATGAGTAGAGCCAAGATGATCGTCATAAGAAAAAATCAATGTAAAACAGGTTTTCATTTTTGGGGTAATTTCATATGTATTAACCCAGACCATGTCACCAAACATCTCAGATTTTGCTGAATTTTATACATTTGAGAATAATTAGTAAATAAAAATTCCTTAAAAACTGTAGCCACTGACTCCAAGAAGATCCTCAATTATTTTGAAATTTGACCATTTTAGCAAATATTGGTCAGGCCCCTCTTTGTCCCCTCAGAATTGCAACTTTTATTTAGAGATTTTATATCACTAACTATAAAAATATTTGATCTTTTTACTTAAAAATTTGTACCTGTCTATTTTCAGGGGTGACAAAACATTTAATCAATTTAAATAAACTTCAGTAATTTTATTTATACCTGTTTTTAATACATAGGTAACTTATGTGGCCTTGATATCAAAAAATTTTGATCTGCAAGTATATGGATTTCTATATATGGATAATGGAACACAGATCCCACTTTCTTGCAGAATCTTGCAATAGATTTTTTACTACCTTCCAGACAAAATGGAGCTCTGAAAAATTCAGCACTTTTGTATTCCTAATAAACACAAGTTAAAATTGTTTTCAGGACAGACTACCAGAGGTCCATGAGGCCGGGGTACGGATGCGAAAATAACACGGATACGAAAATAAGTGTGGCATATTTTCTCTAAAAACAATTTTTTTTCTGATTTTAACAAAGTGAAAATAATTTTAAAAACATTGTTTCAAAAAGTTATATGGTTTAATACTTGATCTGTTTTATTAAACTATATGCAAAATACAAAAAAATAAAATGTTGTCTGTTACATGTTAATCAAGATATAAATTCTGGGTTAAATTGATGATAGCTCCTATTACCAGGAATTATTCTACTTTTTAAATCTTTTTACGATGATGGCAGATCATGTTAAAAATTTGTCATCTGTTATTTCAGATCTCCAAATCAATTCTTCTCTGTAACAATCTAGTCTCTTAAAACCAGTCTTTATACTATAAATTACTTTATGACAAGTATCATTTAAAAGTTTTCCAAAATCACATAGATCCATTTTCACTGTAAAACTAACTACATTAAATTAAAATTAATTGAGATTAAATTAAAAATGAGAAACCAATAGTAATTATATAATCAAATAGTATAGTAAAATATAATTAAAGCAACAAACACCGTATAAATGGAAAACAATTTTAACATTGAATGGTTTATTTTATCTTTTTTTGAATGTAAAAGATAATTTTCTGTGTCTTTAACAAGGTTGTTTAATTGTAATAAATAAATTTCTTCTATACTACTGTAGTGACAGGATGTGTTTTTGTTTCTGTTAATAGTTTTTATTTAATAAAATAAAATCTTATTTAATAAAACCAAATGTTAACATTTTAGAATTAAAAATAATTATTTTAACTGAGATAATATTCTTTTTTGTTGACGTAATGTTATGGCAGGATGTTTTTAGTGTGTTTTTTTAACTATTGGAGTTTAATTATTTAGTTAGTTTAATGCCCTGTCAGCAGTGTCGTTTTGTGAGGACTCAAATCCCCTTAAAACAATTCATTTAATAGTTTTCCACCCCTTAACACGATACATTTAATTGTATAATTGCAATTTTTTTTAATCTGCCTATATATATTTATAGAAAAAAAAATAAATACAGCAAAAAAGACTTGATTGCTAAAAGAAAAGAATTCAAGCTTTTGCTAGCATTTTATTTATTTTTCACCTCCACAGCAACATCTTCTGGAGTAGGTAGCAGGATGGGCTTATATTTCTCTTTATTTAGTTTCAAATTTTTACAGTTTCTGATAACGATTTTATTTCCTAAATTATCTCTGATTGACAGAGATAATGTAGAAAATAAAATCGTTTAAAATACACTATTAAAAAAAATTATATTATAGTTTAAAATGCACTATTAAAAAAAAATTGCTATGTATATGTACAATAATAACACAACCTATACAACAAAACTCATTAATTTTAGATTTGATTTTAATGTTTACCTCAAACTATTAAGCAACAAAAAAACTTATTTTATTTAAAAAACTAATAAGTTGCTTATATAAAAATAAATTATATAAAAATACTTATATAAATTATATAAAAATACTTATACAAATTATATAAAAATACTTATATAAATTATAAAAAAATACTTATATAAAAATAAATTTACAAACAATTTTAAATGTATTATACAAAAGTTTAGTAAGAATAATTACAAACAAAATTACAAAGCACTGATGTACAAATAACATTGATGAATAGAAATCAACTAAATAAATGTTTTAAGTAAAAAGAAACAATAAATACAAGAGAATTTTAGAAAATTTTTAAAAATAATAAGATTTTGGCAGGTGAGACAAGAAATAATAGATAATTTAGGCATCAACAAATTTCATTATTTATAGAAAATGGCAAAAACTTTTCAATAATGACAAAAAGATTTGTGTTTAACTGCTATAACAGGACCAAACATATTAAAAATATTTACAATGTATTTTTCCACATAGTTTAATAGAAAAAAAGACATAGTAAGACCTTACTCTAATTTGAAAACAAATAAAATAAATATTAAAGTATGCATTATAAATAAATATGAAAATAAAGTTAATATAGTTTAATATTATAGAAATTAAATATAGCATTATTATTAATTAATTGAATTAGTTGCAAGAAACTATTAAAAATATTAAAATCAGATTGTTTTTGTTGCTAGGATAATTGAACAACTTTAAAACTACTCACTTGTGATCAGCCATGATTTGAATTTTAACTCCTTCACCACGAAGATCATAAAAAATTAATTTAGGACCAGAAATACGCTTAGCATGAATTCTTCCTATATTTAACAAGTTTAATTATCTTAAACTTCTTTTTAAGATACATAAAATGAATTTTTGAATAAGTAAATGAAAATTAAAGACTGATACATAAACTGTTAATTCAATTAAAGATAAACTTGTGGAAATTTTTTCTTATCACCTGCAACACTAACTTTTTCTTCACTCCATGAACCTGACTCAATATTTGTGTACTTTTCAATAAATTCAGTTAATGATATTGAAACATGAAATTTGTGAGGATAAGGATTTTCTCCTTTTTTTTTCCATGTTGCAACTGATTGTTGACGAATTTTATAGTATTGATTTGGATCAAGAATTTCTTCATCTTCAACTACACCACCTTCCTCTGATTTCGGTTTCACGTCACTGCTCTCTGATGACTAAAAGAATTTTTCGCATATAATTTTATATCGATAATTTAATTTAACATAGCAAACATATCAAATACAACAATTTAATCTACTACTATATAACTTAATTACTTGGAACAGTATGAAATTTATAGTAGTAAGAATTTCCTATAATTTTCTTTTTATTAAAAAAATATTATCCAAGAATAAAATGCAAAAAATGATTTTTATCACCTTTATAGCTAATTTTTCTAACTTTTCTTTAGCTTTTTGCTCAGCTTTAAGCCTTCTTTTTAGTTCACTAGAAATGTTAATTTCACAAAATAAAAAAAGGACGTGTAAACTATTTCGATGAATTAATTTTCAGCCAAAAAAAAAAAATACTTTTTGCTTAACTGCTCTTCTGACATATTGAGTAAAGAAGAACTAATTTTGAGTGAAATAGAGGAAGTAATACTTCTTGAAATCTTGTTGGAGCAATGACGGAGACAATGCGAAGAAAATCCGATAAAAGAAATTCTCAATCGCATAACAAGAAAAAATTGTACCCTAGTGTGTAAGCGTGGATAGATGATGCAATATTTTAAAAACAAAAAAGATCACTACAAACTTGGACACATGCGATTTCATTCATTGGTTTTGTTTATTGATTTAAGATTTTCAATTCTTAGTAGTTTGATTGGGTCGTTTTCGTTACTAATGCTTTTGATGTTTCAGTTTAGTTATATTTAACAATTTAATTTAAAAAAAAAATCCTACTACAGACATAAATTATCAAACTCTTTGCGAAATAATAAAGCCTAAGCAAGGCCGGGGCGAAGGGTGTGTGTGTGTGTGTTGGGGGGGGGGGGGGGGGGAAGGGAGTTTACACCCCCCCCCCCATCCCATCAATGATTTTTAGTCGGCAAATGTTAACCCTTTCGATAAAGGGTAGTCGGTAGTTTAGACAGTTAGTCGGCAAATGTCATCATGGCACGTGACACCTTCTTGAGCCTAAGTATCGTAACAATCATTGATTGTAAAAGTTCACAAACTTTGTAGTGTTGTCTTTTCTCTAACTTTGAAATGCATTATTATTTATGATTGATAAGTATTACTCTATTTTATTGATATTTAGTAAAAACTAGTTGTTTTGTATTGTGCGTATATAAACTTTGAAAACATAAAAACATATCAACAGGTTAATGAGTTTGCCCTAAGTAGGGCAACTCTAGATTATGAACTTTCATAAAAATACTGGATTAGTATCACTAAATCCGATCCAGAGCTGTACTTTTTATAGTGTAAGCTCCCTTGGCCATTTCTTTTTTTAATTTCTAAATATATCTTTACTGAGCTTGTTTTTATAAACATTTAAAGTATTATATTTATAGTAAAATATTTAAACGAACTATTATTTATAGTAAAATATTTAAACTAACTCACTTTCAACAATTTTGAAAACATCCCTTATTTTCAGGGCCGTTTTAAGAAATTCGGCTACTAAAAATAATCCGCCCCTCTTCCTAAGGAAATATACAGAATGGCAAATTGGGAGCGGACGTCCGGAAACAACTAGAAACAATCGATTTGTTACTTTTATACTAAACAAAAATAAAATTTAATTAAATCAAAAAACATTTAAGAACAAAAACAAACCTTAATCTAAACAAATGTAACTTATATATTTATTTTCCTTGCTTTTTCTCTGGCAAACTGATCAATAATATCGCTAGTATTTAAATTATCAAATAAATCTCTCTCGATTAATAAAATAGTTAAATCATTGAGTTTGCTCTGTCCCAAAGCAGATCATAAGTAATTTTTTATTCTTTTGATTGCTGAAAATGATCTTTCGCCTTTGCAGTTTGTAGTGACGATACTTAAAAATATGCGCAGTTCTGTGGTTACGTTTGGAAATGTAGACTCATTTTTTAATTGTTTATTAATTATTATTATCTTTTATTTTCTTACTTAACTTTTATTGTCTTATTTATTATCTTAGTTAATTACTCTTTTCTAAACTCATTTAATTGTTTAAAAGATTTTTAATTTGGTTTTCAATCAAAACATTTTTCTTTCCACGCATTAATGAAAAAATCAGGAAAGCTCTTGATACTGGTCATTTCCTTTGTGGTGTTTTTATCGATTTACAAAAAGCTTTCGATACCGTTGACCAAAGTATTTTGATTTCTAAATTAAAACATAATGTAATTCGCGGTATTGTAAATGACTGGTTTCGATCTTATTTTTCAGATTGAAAACAATTTGTAAGTATTAATGGTTTCAATTCTAGTTATAAATCAGTTTTGTGTGGTGTTCCTCAAGGTTCTGTTTTACGTCCTCTTTTGTTTTTAATCTACGTTAATGACCTAATCAATTCTGTTCAATTCTCTTCCGTTCATCTGTTTGTTGATGATACAAATCTCTTGCTCATCAACAAATCGTATCATTCTTTATGTAAAAATGTGAATACGGATCTAAAAGGTATTATTCACTGGTTGAATGCTAACCTAATATGTCTCAACACCGAAAAAACTGAACTTATTTTTTTTTTCATCTCCAAGAAAAAACACTTTCTTTAAAAATGTTGAAATCAAAATCAAAATTAATAATAAACGGCTATATCCTTCAAGAGTTATTATCTTGGTGTTTAATAGATTGCAATCTTTCATAGAACTTTTATATTGATGAACTAAGCAAGAAACTCGAGCTAACGGTATGCTTTCAATAATTTGTCATTATGTCAATAAAGTTACACTTAGGAGTATTTACTATGCATTATTCTCATCTCATCTTAGCTATTGTTGTCAAGTTTGGGGTCAAGCTGGAAACTATCGCATTAACAAGTTGCTATCTTCTCAGCGTCAATCCATCAGATTAATAAACTTCCAATCAATTAAATCAGATACATCCAAAAAAAACTTTTCATTCCAACATTTCCAGCGCTAGTAAAGCATGCTAATCTTCTTTTTGTTTTTTTGACTCCTTAAATAAAAACATACCATTTCCTTTCACAAACTTCTTCACAGAAAGTAGACTATTACAATCCTACTTAACTAGAAATATACACAATGGAAAACTAAATGCACCATCTTTTAAAACCCAGAAGTATGGTAAACATTCTATTGTTTATCAGTGCGTCTGTAAATGGGTCCAAAAAAATATATACTAAAATACATTTACTCCATCTTAAACAATATCAATACACCTATCCAACTTAAATTCTACCATTTTGCGCGGCGGGGACTGAACTCCAATTGTGTGGGTAAAAGTCAAAAAAACTTCCTAAATATCTGTATTTGAATTATTATTTTATTTGTATTTATCTCATCTTTTGAATTCAAGACGATGACAAGAGGTAATTGTGCAGTAACAGGGTGTTCGAATAGCCATTATAAACTTTTGAAGTGGAAAAAACAAGAATGTAATGTTCATGAAGGTTTAAAAAAAGAACAATGTGGTTGTAATCGTCCTTTCAATCTTTACTGTTTTCCAAGTTCTTTAAGAAATTCTAGAGAAAGAGAAAAGTGGAAAATTTTAATAAAAAGGGAAAGTAAAAATAAGAAAAAATGGAATCCATGCAACAGTGATAGTGTATGTTCGATCCATTTTGTAGATGGAACACCTACCATTGCTAATCCAGACCCTACTTTAAATATGGGATATAATTCTACTAATATTAAGCCAAGAAAGAGTTTAAATAAACGTTGTCCAAAATCGAACTTTTTAATTTTGAAAGGTATTAGCTCAGAATGTAATGACACTAATAATATTACAACTGAAGATAATACCAATGAGTTATGCAGTAGTAATAACGATAATGCAACTTATTTACCACCGTCAAGCTGTGATAGCATGTCCACACGATTTTTTTATAATTCAAATATTCAAATATAATTAATGCCATTGTATAGAGCTTGGTTTGACTTAAAAAATGAGGGGTCATTTGATTTTCGAAGTTAAGCGGAGCAAAAGTTATTGAACTTTTTGTAGTGAAAAAATGGGTGATTCTTTGACAAAAGGTATAGGGGTTAAGTATGGAAAATTTGCTGCGAAATGGCACCGAAAATGAGAGTATTATTTTCCATAGTGACCAACCAACTATAAGGAAGTAAAAATCCAAAAGATTTTTTTTTAAATCTGTTGGGATAGACTAAAATTATTTATTTTACAGACCGAGGGTTTTTACTAATTTATATGTTTTTGAGGTCATACTGACTTTTGAATAACTTTTGAACCAATAAAGCATTTGACTTGAAATTTTCCATAGTGACCAACCAACTATAAGGAAACAAAATTCAAATTTATAGTCATACTGACTTTTGAATAACTTTTAAATCGTTATTACTTTTGACTTGAAATTTTTCATAGTGACCAAAAAACTATAACAAAATAAAAAACCAAAATTTTACTTTAAAAAATGTGTTGCCATTGTCCAGAATCATCTATTTTTTAGTCTGAAGGGTTTTTGTATTATTTTCTTATTTTTGGAGAATTAAATTTGGGGTCATATTATAATTATACCATGCGAATATGCATAAAGGAATCATGGGATCGAAAAAATACATAATTCGAAAACAACTGCATAATTTACAGACTGGTCAGTAAAATAATTACATAAATTACTGTTTGGTCAGTAAATTGCTGAAAATGGGCTGTTTAAACAATTTAAACATATCAACTTTAAATAGTTTGTAATTTATTTTTTTTAATTTTTGATATTTTTGCACCATTATTACATTTGACTTAAAATTTTAAATAGTGATCCAGTTTTTATTAAATCTGTCGGGATTATCCAGAATTGTTTATTTTACAGATTGAAAGGTTTCTACTTATTTAATTGTGTTATGAAGAAAAAAAATTAGGGTTGCACTATGCAAATACGCTTAAAGTAATCATGGAATCCAAAAAATACATCATTTGAAAACTATTGCTTAATTTACAGACCTATCAGTAAATTTATTGCATAAATACAGACCGGTCAGTAAATTATAGTAAATAGATGTACACACCAATTAGGCATATTGACCTTAAATATATTTGATATTTTTGAACCGTTATTACATTTGATTTGAAATTTTAAATAGTGATCCAGTTTTTATTGAATCTATTGAGATCATACAGAATCATTTATTTTACAGACTGAAGTGTTTTTACATAATTATGTAATAAACAACAAAAATTAAGGTTACAATATGCAAATATGCATAAAGGAATCATGGAATCTGAAAAATACCTCAATTTGAAATTATTGCATAATTTACAGACCGGTCAGTAAACTATTGCAAAAAGGTTGCACCAACCTATTGGACAAATCTATGTTGCACTAAAAAAAAAATATTTGATAATTTCCAACAGTTATTACATTTGACTTGAAATTTTTGATAGGAATACATAACTATAAGAAAATTAAATGCCATAATTTTTTTTGCATCTGTCAAAATTATCCAGAATTGTTAATTTTACAGACTAAAGTGTTTTTACTTATTTACCTAGTTTTTTAGAAAAAATTTGGGTCATATTATAAAACTCCATGCAAATATGCATAAAGGATCGTGGAATCCAATTCATCTGTTTAA